GACTTTTAGCCCGACTTAATTAACGAGGTCGATGAAAGAGAACCAACACTAATAAGTGCTGGAACGCTAATAATTCCCGTTACAACTCTTGCATTATGAAACATATCAGTCGTCGGTGTCTTTAATTATTAAAGGATGTCGATGTCTTTAATTATTAAAGGAGGACTCGAGATAATAATTTCCAATCGAGGTGATTTCGCGTATTTCGGATATCTGGAAAAAAAGATAAAGAATGTAGGCTTAAAATAGTTTTTTTTAACATTTTTAAAGTAATATGTTTTATACTATTTTTGTGGATATAAAATAAAAAATTGCTTCTGAAATCTAACATTTTTAGGATTATTTTTTCAATGCAAAAAGTAGGGTTGCACGAGATACCAAGATTAGTCTTGATATTGTCTTGTCTTGTCTTGAATTTCAAGATAAGAACAAGACAAGATTTTTAATTAGTTATCAAGACAATACCAAGACTAAAACTGTCAAGATTATTAGTCTTGTCAAGATTATTGGTTTTCAAAAAAACTAAAATATTTATATTTGTAAATGAAAAAAATCATATATACGAATTTAAAAAAATTGTATTCAATAAAAACATTTAGATTGATAAATTTAAAAACATTTAATACTAATACAATATAACATTTTCATAAATTAGAAATTAAACTCGCAAGTTTTAGACATTAAAGAGCATTTCACTCAGGAATTGATGCACATTAGTGCTTTTAAAGATTTACTTTGTAATCTGGTTTTATTTTTTGACATAGTCAAAATTCCTATCGAGAAAAGTCTTTCTATTGGTACGGACGAGGCACTTTGAACTTAAAATGTCTCGAGCCATTTTTGACAATGTGTACTAAATATGAATCTGATTTTTTTACCACTCCAAAATATTTATATCTGCACATTCCCTTGGAGCCTGTAAATAGTTATTAATTTCTGTTTTCCATGAAACAGTAAATGTTTTTTTATGTAAATGGACAGCATTTATATCAATTTCATAGTAATAATTATAATTAAAATATAATACAATAATAACAATTATTTCAAATTATATTACAAAAATTATGTTAAATATTATTTAAATAATTTTTTAATATTAGAATAAAAATTGTTAATAAAATCGAGACAAGACAATTCAGAACGAGATTTTTGCTATCAATATTCACTCAAGACCAAGACAAGATTTAAATTTTTGAAAATTTTCAATGCCAATATAATATTCTTACGAATATTGTCTTGTCTTGGGTCTTGTGCAACCCTAGCAAAAAGACAGGAGATTTCGTCGTATTTTGATGCTACGAGTGATGACGTCACAAAGTAGCGAAAGAGTGTTTTAATTCGCTCTTTCCCCCCCGGGCTCTCAATTGGTGGTATCTTGGCTCGCGGAAAGCGCGGTCGCCATCATGATGCTGGAATGATGCGACGAACGGCAGGCCAGCAACTCGCTCGCTCGCTCGCTTACATACGCAAAGGTCCGCTTTTAATGCGTGCGTGTCGGTGCGTAAGTGAGAGGCGGAGCCGTGCCTCAGCGGAGGTCATAGGGCAATACCAATCACAGCCGCGTGATAACCACTCTCCTGCCATGCGTCTTGCAGATGCGTGCGTGCATGCGTGCCTGGTGTGCGTGCGCGTATGTGAACGCGAGCGTTTTTACGCGTGCGTCATAGTTGCAAAACTAATTATTCCTCTCGTTGCTGTCGGGCGTATCCCATCGGGCCTCGCGATTTTCAGAGAGGGAGAGAGAAGGATTGAGTTTGCATCTGCCAAGATCTACCAACTTTTGCGAGGAAAACGCAAACGCTAGAGATCAGGTCCGCCGCGCCGGAAATTCAGTCTCAATCCGAATCGGAGATTTGATTGATTATTGATGACTCCGTTCCGGGGCTGTCGCGTTTGCTTGCCATTGATTGCAGCTATCCGATAAGGGTTGTCGTCTTCTCGCTATCTAGTTGGCGCCGCATCTGACGTTAAACGTGCTTGTCCGATTGATAATTTTATCTATCGAATATGAAGCTTTGCCCTTCATTGTAGTACAATAAAATTGATAATCAGATATTTAAGTATACGACTATATGAATTTCAGATCTTATATAAGTTTAGAATTGATAATATTTAAATAATTGAAAATTCAGTGATTAGTAAAAAATTGAAAATAAATTTAATAATTTAAATATTAATTATAATAGTTTTCTAAATAATTTATAAAAATTAAAAAGGATAAAAAAATTTAAACATCTGTGAAAGCTTCAATTCTAAATTCCGGAATTCTAAAGAATGGAAAGGCTTCATGATTTAAAAATCCAATAATGCAAGCATTATTAGAATTCTAGAATTCTAGAATTCTAGAATAGCATTCTAGAATTTAAGATTGAATTTCTCTGATGTTTGAATGTTTTGATCCCTTAATTTTTGCTTGTAAATTATCGAATATTTTTATTTTTTTGGATATTTTTAGAGTTTTAATTTCTCAGATCATATTATTAGAATATTATTGTGTTAAAAATTTAAATTTTTTCCCTTGCATATTTAAATCATCTCCTTCTTTTGAAATTTGTGGTCTTTCTAATCTTTGAGTTTTCTCTCGAACACCTCAAATTATATTGCAATTCAGTGATTAGAAAAAATTGAAAATAAATTTAATAATTTAAATATTAATTATAACAGTTTTCTAAATAATTTTAATATTTAACATAAATTTTTAAAATTTAGATTTTTTTTAGGACAGCTTTCTTTTGTAGAAACTTTTATTTCATATAAGTTAAATAAAGTTAAAATATTCTGTTGAATTTTAAACTTTTTGATATTGATATTTCATTTTTCTTGAAATAGCCAGAAAATTAATTTAATTAAAGACACAGTTCGATTATATCCTCTAATGGCATTACATGCTGTTTTAATTAAAGTGTACATATTTGTCAAATATATTCTAAGTGTGTTCAGTCCTGTAAAGATAGATGTAACTACAGACGCAACGAATGTAAATTTTCTTGCGATCGCATAGGAAATTTGCGAGAGTGAGGGAAAACACGAAAATGGACGGCGATATATCACCGGGATCAATCCAATCGCATTTTCTAAGAGTCAACTGCCGTGCGCGGTGTCACGACTCGCATAATCATACGATTTGTACGTGTCGCTGGGTTGCCTACCCCAAGACGTAGGGTTTCTCAACGAAGCAGTCATCGAAACGAGACCTCAAGAGTTTTCATCGTTTCGAACGACTTTCCCTTATTTCATGTGACAAATCAAATTCCATTATCAAGCATCTCTTCGTGCATATAAAAGATACAGTGTGATCGCATTTTAAGCAATGATACTCGGAGCATTTTGCATAACTCAAAAATAATTTTTTTAATAAAAAAAGTGACTAAAATTTCAAAATTTATTTCAAAATTTTATGTATATAGTGAAAAAATATCATTTACATATATTTTTAAACATATTTTTTCATATCATATTATTTTAAATTCACATATAATGTATTTTAATGTTATATAGATTAAAATATTGTGTTGTTTTTTCTGTGTTTTGTACTGAGACTTTGCGTTCACTATCTAAAAATTTTAGTGTAATTTAAAATGTTTCTTAATAAGATAATTTAATTGATATATCTTTGAAAGAAGAGAGTAAAAATACATATGATATTTGAAATAATTAAAATAAGAATTCAGATATTGTGATTAATAATTAACAAGATAATAATTCCAATTTCACTCATTTTCTACACTGTCAATTAAAATAGTAGTTACAATCAACTTTGTGATATATTTCTTCTTATATAATTCTAATTAAAATTATTTATAATATTTCTGAAATCAAATAACAACGTGAAATACTAAATTGTGAGATTAATAATCGAAATGAGATATTATAATGATATGATATAATAAAAAATTGAACTTACTATATATTATATATATTTAATAAAAATGGAATCGATAGTTCGTTGCTGCAAGAGTTCGACAAAATTGATCAGAAAATATTAATAATATAAAATTATTCATGGACGATTCAAATCCGAGCTACTAACGCCATCATCTCGGTCATTTATGATGAACTAGAAGCCAAAATCAAATTGAAGAGGTCAGTAGCGAACGAGGATGCAATTGTTGCTACATAAAGCGCTTGCATACTATATGTTGCAAATCTTGATAATTTGCATAAAAAATATTAAAACACAAAAAAAATGTTAATCAAGATCCGAGTTTGAATTTCTCAAATCGAGTTAATTTGATAAATTATTTTTCATTTTCCATAAAAATTGCTGATTATATATTAGATTGTATAATTTATTAAGCTAAAAGATTTTATCCACCGAATAAAACTGATACGTCATAATTAAATCAATTATTTTAGAAAGACAATTGAAAACTAAAATAAATATTAATAAATTAATATATATTAATATATTAATATATAATATTAATATATATTTTCTATATAAACTTTCCAAAAATGACAATTTCTTAAGTTTTAGATTTTCCAACTTACACATTAAAAGCGATTGGAAATTGTTACGTGTCTCGTCAAATAATTAATTTACCTTTTCGAGTCGACTTTTATTGAATTTAAGTTAAGATTAAAAGAAATGTAAACTTGTACAATTGTAATTTCAGGAAAATTATATTAAGGTTTTACATGTGAAATTTTTGACAATTTAGGAGTCTTAAATTTTTATAATTTTAAATTCGATTATATGTATTTCCAATTATGCTTAAATTGCATTGTACTATGCAATATGAAATTAAGGGATGTTTCGATTTAGGATCCGAAAATACGTATCCTCTTCTTCATCATTCGAGTTATAAACCTATTCTCTCCAATTTACAGTAAATGTTATTCATAGAGAGTTATCGTGCTCAACTATCAAACTAAATTGTGCAAATTATCTTCGGGTCTGCATCTTCCTCAATGGGATTTCATGCTAAGAATCCTAGCCATCTATCATAATATCGGGATCATAATCGGGGGACATGCACAAACGCTCTCTTACGAGAGAGTTAAAATAAAAAACAATTTATTAACGACATAATTACAATAGTATATTCTGCGTGTGGAAAGCAATATTTTTTCTCTTTATACATCATTTTTTATTTTATCTCGGACCGTTCGACAATAATTCCTCAATTTATAATCACAAGCCTACTATAAAATATCCGCAACTCGATATATCTCATCCGCCGCATGTGTGATACGTCCTCCTTCTCCTTTCATCCTCGAAAACAATTGCGACGATTTTTCGTTTTGCGTGTAGACGCTTTTAAAATAAGCGCGAACGTTCCACGGCAAGTCGCAAACAACGGAACGGCCGGATATCGCGTTGTACAAATTTACTCGACGAAAAATCTGTCTCCGCACAATCGAGTGCAATAATGCAATCGCGTTTACATTTTTATATCGTGACTCCTAAGCTTACATCGGATTTCTAAAGTTTTCCGTAAAGAAAATAATGTGCTAATATTTCATCTAATTTATAGCAATGATCTAAAACAACTCTTATTAATATTTAACTATTTAGTTAATTTTTTATCTATGTCTATTTTTTTCGTTTCTTTTTTCCTTTTTTTTTTTTTAAAGAATGTCTAATAGCTGGCGATTTATTTTATTTGCTCTCTATTTTCTAAAGGATAGGTGGAACTTGAATATTTATAAATTAATTATTTTACAAATCAGATATATTTCCACAAGGCATACGCGGGCTCCCGAAACATTTTCAGAAACTGTACTCGACTCTTTAATATTAAGATCGTCTACTTAGGAATAAAATAAGCGTCGCAGCATCATTGCACTCGTTTGTACCATGTTATCTAGTCACCGTAGACTAACGACGCGCGAAACTGGCCATATCTAACAATAAGAGAATCTGTTATCGCTACGCTTGTGAGTGGGATTAATCGTGAAGAATTTCTACCTATAATAATGCTATCTCCTAAATCTGGCTTATATAAAATTCAGCTAAATCACTGTACAAAACGAACGGTGAAAACGAAATGAATTAAGCCGCGCTGCTACGGAACATTAGTGCAGTTACAGTGACAGATAACACTCGTATCTTCGATAAAAAAATTCATTTGGTTCGCATATCGTAACACGCGTCTGCTTCCGTTATGTTCAAGCGAAAACGCTGGTATTATTGCGATTTCTCGGCTAATGCACATCGAGTGACTCATGTGCGATTCAACGATTTGCGCATCAGTGTAAAGTGGGATTGAGACAATAAAATGTAACAATAAGATGATATAAGAGACGAGAAAAAAATTGTCTAGACATTTTCCTTAGACATCCTTTGAAAAGTCAAGAGAAATTTTACACTTATTTACAATGATTCTACGTATCTTTATAATTTAGATACTATGACAGATCTATGTATTTTCTCAGTATTAATATAAATCACGAAAAACCCATCTTATTCTTCTAAATTTTGCCACGTCTCAGCCCTCGCGCGTCATCTTTCGTTGTAAAATAATAAATATTACAAATGTACAATTACACAAATTTCGTTTATTACAAAATGTTTGTCCAAGAATATTTTGCGCAAATCGTTATTTCGCACATGAGGCGATCGGGAGATCCTCATCACACGCAATACGATCCCCTTTGACCCTGGATAAGTAATAATACATAGAATGCAATCAATGATAAACTTATTCGAGAAATGATTTTCGCATTAAAATCTATTAAAGGCAATATAATATTTATTTTTTATCCTTAGTGAGAAGAGAGTCAATGATCAACTTTTGTGTATCTGGATATATCTTTTTAATCGACATTTTAGCATTCATGATCTCAAGATATTACTCATCCAGGCGTAAAGTGTATCGATTGAATATTCGGAAGAACAACAGCGATATTCGAACGCGAAGAGATGATTGTTCCGCCTTGCCACACGCGATCGATATACGTACGTGTGCATGTGATTAATCGTGTATGCATGATATTACATGATCGAGAATCCTATCGCGACAGAAAGGAATCGCGTGATTGGACTTGAAAATAATGACAGCTATAAGAAAAAGAGAGAGAGAGAGAGAAGTGGGAAGCGAACGTGAGAAACAAAAGCTCCAGACGTAATCGGAATCGTCGAAAGTCGTCTAGGAAGCGATTCCTGTTCGACGGAAAAAAAAAAAAAAAAAAAAAAAAAGAAATGGAAAGGAAAAAACTCTTTGCCGAGAGAAAAAAAATGACTTAACGCTTAATTAGTATTAAAAATTAGCTAGGAGAGATCTATCGCGGTTCTTTCATTTAAATTAACCGTAAATTAACAACTAATCAGTAGTCGCGTACAATGATAAAAGAACACTAGCATAAACACGAGCAAAAACGTGAAATTGGATGATATACCGTACGTTTAACACACCCGTAATATGATTCATCATGCGCGATATACGACAATAAAGAGTCGAAGATGGCAGTACAACGGTAACCAATTAAACACCGGAGCTCAAAACTGCCTTGCCTTGTCTTAATAACATTTAGTTGCCTCGTATATTTACAGTGTACATCGATAATCAATATCGTTAAGTCTACTTGGAGATTTCCCTCTCGCATGTCCTCCAGAATTACATCGAATGTGTAGTAGCTCGATACGTGCGTACATACATCTCGTCATCATCCGTTATATCATAATACGTACGTTTTTTTTTCGTCTTCGAAAAAAAAAAAAAAAGAAAAGAAAATCTACACCCATCTTGACTTCGAATCAGCGCACATCTAATTTAATATCTAAATTTAGCGCATATTATTTATTACACACTTCTCTTTCTTTGCTAAAAGATATCTATGTATATATATATATTTTTTTTTTACATATATATACTTATATAGGTTGTTTCAAAACTACCGAGTGTCCTTTTAATAAGTGATCCTTTCAATTGGAGGCGATTTTTTCTTAGCGAAAATTGAGGGAGATTATCGCTTTTTACAATTCTGCTCATCATATATCTTCGTAATTAAGCTTCAAATTTAAATTCTATAAAAGTAAATTTAAAATAAAAAAATACAAATTGATTAATCTTTTAATTCCATGAAATTTAATTTGCAAAAAATCCTGTTTTTGAACAAAGTTATAACTCGAATGATTCGTTACTTCAACACTTTCGCCAAGAGAAAATCGCCTCCAGAAGCGAGAACTGTTCTTAAAAAGACATTCGACAGTTTTGGAATATCCTCTATACATATATATGCACTGTGTTCCAGGGCACCCGAAACTTGTTGCGTCAAAGGCATCTCGTGGCTATTGTTGTATCATTTATTTAGACTTTCTCTTTAAATAAATAAATTGCGTCATCATATTTCTTCGTTTTTTTTTCTCTTTTTACTTAGTAGCATGGACGTCAGAGCTTATCTGTACTCAACGGCAACAAGGAGAGACTCTATAAGGGTATTCCATAATTCCCAAACTTTCCCCGCTTACGTGACACTCGTCAATTTAACTCCTAGCATAATTAGCAGAAAATAGTTTTTACCTTTCTCTTTTTTTACTAAGTTTTCTTCGTGGCTAATTTTCTGTTTCTTTTTTTTCTCTTCGTTTAAATCACTGGCTTAACTGGTAGTACGATGTAATCTAGGCGCTCTCTGCTTTATTAGACTATCTGAAGACTTCGCTTTGTAAATGGCGTGGAGATATATATATGTATACGCAGGTGGAGTAGAGTCATACGAAACTAATCTCTTCGTCGAATGTACAACGCAGCGTGATTATTAAGTAAAAACACGCCGGAACGTTACGAGGAAAGAGCGTCGAGAGTTTTTCTTTTTATACATGTACTATATTATCCACAATTTAATTACGTTTCGAGCGCGCACGCGTGCATTTCCTTTCTTTCAGTGTATAGGTACTTCTGTGTGTGTATGTATGTATGTTTGTTATCTTAAGTGTTACCTAGTCTTTAACGTTATTTTATGCTATTTTATTACCAAGGTGCCCTGGCTATGTCAGCAAAACTACGAAATGTAAATCGTAAAATTGTTCACAGTGCAAGCGAAAGGAAAGGTATCCGGTTTCACAGAGTGTTAAAACACACGGATGTGTCGGTTGTGTATGTATATGTATGTGTGTGTCTGCGATTTTCTACAAATCGTCGCAACACACTGCGATTCCGTTTTCTTATCATTTTCCATTTTTCGGAAAAGTGGCTTGTCTGGCTCATCTCTTTCACGTTTAAACGTACGGGTTTGTTGGGCTGTCTGTCTTAGGAACCTTAATAAGGCAACGAAGGAGCCCTGAATCTTACAAGTGTATTTTTCTTCCTCCCTTTTTACGCCTTTTTATGGTATCTTTTAAAGCCTAGCATCCTTTATCGTGTATTCAAAACACGACTAAAAATGTTTATTATTGCCTTACAAGAAAAAGAGAGATAGAGAAAGAGAGAGAGAGAGAGAGAGAGAGAGAGAGAGAGAAAGAGAGAGAGAGAGAGACTCGGTACCCGAAGAGTACTATTATATAATATTAAAATCACTTAACGATAAAATGTGTAAAACATATCAGAAACCTTTTAGAAAAACCTCATGTCGATTGCTTAAACTTCTTGATTCCGTAAACGAACAAAGCTCTCAAAAGTAGCGCGAAAACGTATATATATAACATAAAATTCCACCGCAACTTACATCCCAACAACTCTGAAATTTTCCGGATAAATCAAAATACAATTGCTCATATATATATACAACATCGATAAAAGCGTAGCAGCATCCGCTAACAGACACAAAAGTCCAAAGCAGAGATTTTCAACAACTTTATATATCACAGAAAGTTAATTATAAATACAACATTCAAACAGAGAGAAAGAGAGAGAGAAAGAGAGAGAGGAGAAAAAAAAGAGAGCTTGATTCGAGAGCTTAGCCAGACGTTACTTTTAACGAGTATACATTTCCCTCAATAAAATACTATTCCGATGCACGTCGTGGAGATAAATAAGAAGTACGTGAAGCTGTGAGGAGACTACGGTACCGAGGCTCCCTCTGATCCTTTTCATTTAATACCATTACCACAGAGAGCTTATTATGCTACACTTTGCACAAAACGCCTTCTCCGCGGCACGATAAAAGTGAGGAATAATGATCCTCGACGAATATTTCTGTGAAAATGACCGTAAGTTACACAACGAAAGACTTCGTTTACGTCGCTTTATCGCGCGTCGCACCGTTATTGACGCATAAGGCGTGCGATATTTGTGTGTTTCACCGTTCATCTCTCTGTCTGGCTGATCGAGCTGTTCGTGATCGCTCGCTGTCGTCGCAATCATTGATATTCGTGATAACGTTGCGTCCATTTAATCCGTGATCATCACGTATATACAAGAATGACTCGCAAACCGCGCTCGAGAGCGAGACAGGTCAACCGTCCGCCAAGCGCGACACCGTTGCCGTCGACGACGGCGGATGAGGATGATGTACCAAGGCCGGAATTTCGATCATATCAGCCGGCTGCTGATTGGCGACGGTGCTGATGATCGAGCAGGAAGTGAGGGGTTGCTATTTCTTGGTCGGTGTGCCCCGTTGCGTCAGACCCTCGAAGCGCTTGAAAGTGTAATTGATGAATACCCAGTCCTTGTATATTACCTCGCCGTCCTGTGGCATTGGCGCGGACGCTATAACGAGAGAAAATTGAAGACCGTAATTAAAGGTGTGTCATTCTCTACGAGGATTGAATGTACACTGATAAAAAAATCGATGAGAAAATTCACTATAATTGCATGGTACAAAAATTATAGTTTGAACACTCATTTTTAGTAAACTTTACTATAATATTATAACTAATACTTTATATAATTTCACTATAATACTGGTAATGTCTATAATTTTACTATAATTATAATAATATTAATAATTATAATTAATATAATATTTAATAATTAATATATATAATAATTAATTTAATAATTAATATATATAATAATTAAATATTAATAATTATAATAATTTCAAATATCATATAAGTAAAAAAATGAAAGAAAGGAATGATACATATAATTTTATATTTCTATTCATATAGTCATTGTAACATTAATAATGGTAAATATTATTATATTATTATCTGTCGTTTAGATATTAATATAGTAATAATAAATGAAAAAAATTATAATAACAGCTATATCTAAATAGTACGTGGAACTTGATGAATAGCACATTTAACAACATCAAACTTATTATTTGGAATAATTGTATGTGCACTGATAAAAAAAATCGATGATAAAATTGACTATAATTGCATGGTAAAAAAATTATAGCTAGGGCACTCATTTTTATAGTAAATTTTACTATAATACTGGTAATATAAACTACCGATAAACAATGAAATTTTTTACTATAATTTATAATAATTTCAAATATCATATAAGTAAAATATGAAAGAAAGAATGATACATATAATTTTACTATTCATATTTAAAATAAATTATTTAATAATCTAGATTCAATTCCTTGTTAAGATTCAATTCCTTGTTAAGATTCAGAATATTAAACAGATTATTTGAAATTATAGACGGAAAAAACTTTTAAACGACTTGGTGCTGCGTATATTTTTTAATATAATATATAAACTATATTTTTTATAGTAAAATGCACTATTATATATGCTTAAGATACTATAAATTATAGTGAAATTACGATAATTTCAACTATAATTTTTCCTTTAAGTGTAATGACGTGATGGGAAAAGCACATACGTATTTCCAGTTTCACGTCTGGAAACTCGTCGAAGTTGGACGTGTCGTCGATGGATCGCACCTCGACCGGTATGGCGGCCGGTCTTTCCCTGATGTGCTCCCAATCGACACCACGGAAGAAAGGTGCCAATTTGAGCTCCTCAATGCCTCGTTGCGCCCCTAAAGAATAATCACAATGAAGAGATTAGTTTTATAAGAAGACCTATCCTCCCGCGTGGGAAGAATTTTAATAATTCCAAAATGAAAATCCAGTAATTTACCTAATCTTCTGTCGGCTTCGCAGCAAAATCTGATAATGGTGTCTTTAGCTTCTTCGCTAATGGGAACTTCCGGCGGGAATACGAGCGTTTCTCGCCAGTTCATTACTTTTCTATACGTCTCCTGTGGATTTTCGCTACAGAACGGCGGATAGCCTGAAAAAATCGCGTTATCAGAATGGATATAGATCAGTTTTTCAACATTCGGAATTGATTACAGTTTATTCTTTATATTTATCTTACACTCGACATAACGTTATAATTATTAATTATCAATATTACGTTATAATCATTATTACAATGCAATTTATACGAAGTGTAATATTTAATTTTACATACTAATATTTAACGACAAAATTTTCACAGATTAATTAATATAGATAAATTAACATTATTTATCTCAATAATTCACTGATTATTTTTCTCAATAATTCACTAGTCAAAATGCATTTAAAAACGGAAAATACCAAAGACATACCTATAAGCATCTCGTACATAATAACTCCCAGGGACCAACAGTCGCAAGCCGGTCCATAACCTGTTTGCAGGAATACTTCCGGTGCGATGTAATCTGGAGTGCCAACCGTACTGTAAGCCAGAGCTCTCCTGTTTCTTTTCCAACTCTCGGCTCTTCTTTTGCTGTCCATTGCACCGCCGCTTCCACTCCCACATGATGTCACTACGAAACACAGGCGAGATATTAGTTAAATCATCATCATTGATGCTACGTAAATATCTCCGTTTGACGCGATCAACTTACTGAAATCGGAAGGTTTCGCTTGACTCAGGTCTCGGTAGAAATCAGTTCTGTGCGACTTCTTCAGACCCGTGCACAGCCCAAAATCAGAGAGTTTTATATGGCCCCGTGCATCCAGCAACAGGTTGTCTGGCTTGATGTCTCTGTAAAGTATAGTTAAATTAATATAAATGATTTCTTCAATTTGCGTAAAAGTATTATACATACTTAAACCAAATATAAACAAAGTATGCTTAAATAAACAAAAATAAAATTATGATTACAATAAAAATATATTTTAAAAAGGTTTGTACGCTCTTTAATTAATTATTACAAATAAATGTTGAAAAATAATAATCATGGACTTTAAAAATCCACCGACAGTCATATTTGTGTAGAACAGTTTTGAAAGATTTAAATCAACAATTCATAAGCGATTTTATTTAATTTCATAAATTACAATAAAAATATATTTTAAAAATCTTTGTAATGCTCTATAATAAATTATTACAAATAAATGTTGAAGAATAATAATCATGGACTTTAAAAATCCACGACAGTCATATTTGTGTAGAACAGTTTTGAAAGATTTAAATCAACAATTCATAAGCGATTTGATTTAATCTCATAAAATTATTTTCTTACAGTTGTAGCAAATATTCAACGAACGTACCTATGAATAAAACCTAATTTGTGTATGGAATCGATCGCTAACGCCGTTTCGGAAATATAAAATTGCGTGCATTCCTCGGAAAGCGTATCCTTCTTCATGAGCAGCGTCATCATATCACCTGTAATTTATCTCAGTTTAAATATCCGTTCAAGGGTAACACCTTTGCTTTCATCGTCGACGATTAATAATGACTTACCGCCGGGCAGAAACTCCATTATCAGATAGAGATTTATAGGATCCTGGAAACTGTAGTACATTTTTACGACCCACTGATGATCCGCTTCCACGAGAACATCTCTCTCCGCTCTGACGTGCGCGACTTGCTCCTTCTCAAGCATATCCGCTTTCCGGAGGATCTTCATCGCGTACACGTGTCCCGTGTCCTTCTTTTGCACGAGTCTCACCTGTTTATTTCATAAAGAAAAGAGTTTCAAGTGAAAATTCCGAAAAGATTCCTGTCGCGAACGATTAAAAGCATTCTCTAATTTCAGATCTTTGTGTGAAAGGGATTCCACTTGCTTCGCGAAGCGAGGAGAAGTACTACTTTTCTTGAGAAATAATGAGATAATTTCGCTCTCTCGTGAACGTGATCACTGCTTGTGAGAGGCTTCATATTTCCGTTATTATTATAATTCTTCTAACTACAAGCGAAGCTCAATCTTCGTCTCTAATGTACTCAAAATGTCATGTAAATTGCGAGTAATTTATGTATACATGCATACGATAAATATATTATTTATACGATGAATATATAATTTAAGATGTCATTTAAATCATCAAGAAGTATCAATGAATATCACAAACTGCACAAAAAAAGGGACATTCTTGTTTTAGAAATATATTTAGTTTTAATATGGAAATCTTGAAATGATATTATATTGCGTTAATTAAAGAAAAATATAATTGCTTGAATAATTGCTTACTTGAATAAAGCCACTTTATATGTTTCAATCAAGAAAAATATATTCTTATGATTTAAGATTTAATTTTCTCGAATAAAAAAGAAACAAAGTTAGATAGAAAATAACATTTTTAAATCAAAGATTATAATTTTCTTAAAGTAGAATTAAATAATTATATATTCTTGAGGTGACAATTACAATATTAAAATAAGACTATAATATTGTTGAAATTTAAAATTATTAAATTCTGCTAAGAAGATTATAAAGATTATAAATTGTACAATGAACACGTTAGTTTAAGTATATAAGTTTTGATTTGATACTTATTTTTTTTTCTGTGCAATGTATGAAAGACATATCTAACTTGGAAAATAATAGAATTAAATTCAAATTCTTCTCATTTTTTCAAATTACTTAAAAGTACGAACTGTGAATAAATTAAATCGCTTACAATTAAATAAATTAAATTACTTAAAATTAATTACATAAATTACATTAATTTACATTAATTACATTAATTATACGCACGATATTACATCTATCAGATTTCATCCCTGTTTCCTCGCAGAGGAATTTCGCTTTGAAATTACTCATATCTCAAACTGTAGCCAATTTGGCAATTAAACTAATACCAGACTTCCCGACACTCGCTCGCTCATTAGCATCATTATGCATCATCGATTCTTCTTTACCTCGCCAAAGGCACCTCTACCGATGACTTTGAGGGGCTCGAAATCCTCGACGCCGAGCCTGGACCGCTTGAGTCGAAGGAACTCGGTCTCTTTTTGGGCATGCTGCAGCCTCTTTTCCTGCTTCTGCTGCTCCGAAAGGCCCTCATCCTTGAGGGACTCCTCGAGCTTCGCCAGCCTCTGCTTCCGCTCGATATGTTGCGCTATCAGATTGCTGTAATAGTTCTCCAACGTTACCTGCAAAAGACAAAATGCAATATATTTACATGCAATGCTCCGATTATCATTGTATCAAACCCGCATGATATCATCATCATTTTCCTCCTTCTCCTCTCGTCACGAGAACTCGACGTAACGCGATCGATAACGTTTTATCTTGTGCAACAAAACCACTTCCGCTGGCCACAGCTGGTGCGATTATTACGCTTTCCGAGATCAAGTTTGCATTCACCATCGCGAAACACTTTGGTGCCAATGTTATTTTTCGTCAGAAGCCGTAGAGAATAAAACTTGCAAAATATTTCAAATTTTCTAGAGTGTCATTCTTGAATTTTTCCAAATTAAAATAATCAATTAAAAATCTTATTTTAATTAAATTTCTAGCTTCGTTCATTAAAGTAAATATTTAATATTGTAATTCAAATTGAAATTCAAAAAGAGCGAAATAAAATGAAGGCAAATATAGAAAAAGGAGAAAAATATTTTATTATATTTCTTATATCTTATCTTTAAAATAATATTTATAATAATGTTTGCAATATACGGACACTTTAATGATTATTGTTGATTAAATGAGATATTATTTAAATTCTACATCATCGAAGCAGCAAACTCCATAAGTTTTTTACAAAATATTTCAAATTTTCTAGAGTGTCATTCTTGAAATTTTCCAAATTAAAATAATCAATTGTCAATTAAAAATCTTATTTTAACTAAATTTCTAGCTCCGTTCATTAATGTAAATATCTAATATTGTAATTCAAATTGAAATTCAAAAAGAGCGAAATGAAGGCAAATACAGAAAAAGGAGACAAATATTTGATTAATTTCTTATATTATCTTTAAAATAATATTTATAATAATGTTTGCAATATACGGATACTTTAATGATTATTGTTGATTAAATGAGATATTATTTGAATTCTACATCATCGAAGCAGCAAACTCCATAAGTTTTTTACAAAATATTTCAAATTTTCTAGAGTGTCATTCTTGAAATTTTCCAAATTAAAATAATCAATTGTCAATTAAAAATCTTATTTTAACTAAATTTCTAGCTCCGTTCATTAATGTAAATATCTAATATTGTAATTCAAATTGAAATTCAAAAAGAGAGAAATAAAATGAAGGCAAATACAGAAAAAGGAATTTTTCTCAAATATTTCTAATTTTCTGACATTTTCCGGAAACTTTTGCCAACTTTCTCCGTATCGCGCAATACGCTAATATCTGATAAGAAATTGCTTTCTGCGATGGTCAATGCTTATTATCAACAAAGTTATCGTCTTCGGCAATAATTAATAAATGTTGCAATTGTTGAGCAATCGATGAGTAACAATGAAAGAGTTGAGCAATTTTTAGCAATTTTTCCAGAAAAACGTAAGCAGTTATTAACTGCCAAGTATATCAGATTAAAGCGGAAAATTTCGCAATTCAGCAGGCAATATGTGATTCATCAAAAAACATTAACTCGCGAAATGTAACCAATATTACATTTTATTTTTTTTCTAATTAAATTCGCAAGAAAACTTCAACCAATACAATATAAATTTTTGTACGGCAACATTAAACATCTACACAAATTCAGATATAAATATTATTAAGAGAAATAATGTTTTTAAATGTAAATTTATATTTTACAAAGTATTCAAATATTTTACGAGACTTGCGAAAATATTATGAATAGAAACTACTCTACATTAATTATAATTTTATTTATAATCATACACTAAACAAGTGAAATCGCGAATTTATCACGTTATTAATCATAATCCTAAGTGGTAATCCTGATGGATTAAATTTAATTATGTGGATATCTAGAACATTGCAATATTTATCTTGTTGAAAAACGGCGACCATTAATTAGCAACATAGCTCGTCGATATTGCCTCTACATACGACGGTTGGGTTGTCCTGATGTTGACCTACATTTCTCTTGCTTATATAAATGTACCTGGATATTCTCAAGGTTCTTCGCAGAGCAGAAACGATTAAGAACTCGAATATAATTAAATTATCAGTTATATTGCAATAATCCTTTTAATAATCGATTATCTTTTAACGACACAAGATCTCAAATTATAGAATTAAATTATTAAGTTGTTATGTTTACAGTATTATTTATTGTAAAAATATTCTCTCTTTATGTATAATTAAAAATTAAAAGAAATAAGGTTTTATTTTTCGCTTAATCTCAAATAAAAAAAATAATCAACCATTATGAGTTATTAAATGTTAAATTTTGTTTAATCAAATTATCTTTGCAGAATAATATCTGCAAAATTAATCAACGAAAGCCATGTTGTTGTAATCATGTCAATTTTTCTATAATTTTTATCCTACAGAATCATCTATCGCGAAATGGATTGATGATAAAATTAAATTCAAACTCACCTTGGCCTTGGTCGCCTTGTCCAACGTGTGGCCACTAAATCGGATCGTGCTCTCGGTGGCCGCCATCTCCAGCACCCCTGAAACAAACAAGAAAAGAAGGTCATTGCATGTTTGGAAACTTCAAGAATTAACAACTTTGAATCTTAACGCAATCTTCTATACATATTGCCGATAAAATATCGAATGAGAGCGGTAGAAGATGAATGACATCAACTCGTTGAACGAAATATCGTGCCAGATGATATCAGTTATTTCCGTACTAATTATAAAATAGTCCTGTCAAAATGACTGTATATATTCAAACTATTTCATGTATTTATTTTTCCATTTATAGAAAAGAGAAGGTAGAAAGATAAAATATTCGTTACATTTTTTAATAAAAGTAGACATTTAAAATTTAACGAATTTAGCTCAGGGGTTTTATATTTCTAGTAATATAAATACACGAACTGTAATACATTAAAAATTTTATATTTAAAGTTCTCAGAGAAAAAGCGAATTTATCTCAACATCTCTATCATTTTAAATTATATATTTCTATTTTCTCTTTTTATATTACATTTTTTTATTATATTATCTTTTTTATTTTTATTATATTTTATTATATTTATTATACTTATTATATTTATTATTATATTTATTTTTATTATTTTTTATTATATTATATTTTGTTATTTTTATTATTTTTATTATATTATCTTCTTATATTTTATTTTTATATTATATGTATTAATGTATTTTATGTCTCTGTAAATATTTTAACCGATGGAATTATAAAAAGTTTTCTAAAAGTTTCATCCTTGGATATAGATTTATCATAATAGTGCTTTTATAAATTAATTTCTTTTTATATAAAAATAATATTTTCCGAATATTCAGAAAAAATTCAGCAAAATTATAATCGTTATCAGCGTTTATTTGGAAAATTTATGAGGGACGCATCTAAGATAATCTATATTCATCTTCTATATTCGCGCTTGGAAAAGTAAACTTTAGACAAAGGATTTATCGTATATTGCGCTTTATATGATAACGTATGACTGCGTGTGAACATTACTACTTTTTCAGAGAAAAGAAAAACCGATGAAGAATTACACATCCATGAATGATGACGGAACATTATGAATGCGAATAGTGAGCAAATTGTCCTGAGGCGATTATAGGCTTGGATCGCACGTTTATATTCGAATGTGGGAAAAAGAAGAACGTCATATAATTGTGAAGGGATTTAAAAAAATTCCACTCCTTACAACACTATTTTTTATATGCTATGACAAAATAAATTTGTGACGTCAACATTCGATATGACTGATATATTTGGAATTAACTGATATTTATATTATATTTTATTATTTTTATTATATCTATATTATATTTTATTTATATATTATATTTTATTTTATATTTGATATTTATATTTTATTATGTTTATTATATATTTTATTATCTTTTTATATTTTATTTTTATATTATATGTATTAATGTATTTTATGTCTCTATAAGTATTTTAACAGATGGAATTGTAAAAAGTTTTCTAATCATCCTTGGATGTAGATTTATCATAATAGTGCTTTTATAAATTAATTTCTTTTTATATAAATTCCGAATATTCATTAACTGATTTGGAATAATTATCGGATAGTGATTTTTTATGAGAGAATATACATTAATAACTTTTTAATTTTGAGACTTAGCTTTGTGAAGGATCAATAAAAATCTAGGATGAATTAACCAGTTTACTGGTAATGTCCATATATGGCTAAAAAAAAAAGTGGCCCATATATGTCCACTATGAATAACTTTGCCAATTTTCAACGGATTTGCATGAAACTTCATATGCCCACATTTTTCAGGTCGCTGATGACAAATTTGGGATCGAAATTTTAAAATTCAAAATGGCGGATTTAGTATGGTGAATTAATTTTGTTATTCTATTATTATATTTGTTATTCCATTAGAGAAGATTCCAATTCGATATGTTCAAGTTTGAATGTCTTGAATTAATCCGTTATCTACGATCAAAAAACTGAGTGTGCTTTATAAATTTGATAAAATTGCTCTCACCAGTTTTGGCACAAAACGTTGATTTCGAGTGTACCAGTGAACTGGTTAAAGAGAGTCGATTTATATCTGACTATTCTTAACTACCCCAAAATCTACCCCAAAAATCAATCATCATTTCACACAAACATGTCATATTCATATTTATTTTATATATAAAGCAAATTACAAAATTATGCTACACAAAAAGTATGATATCAAAATAATTCTATTGATATTTAATATTTATGTCATTATTAATGTATAAGAAATTGACTAAAAAATTGGAATTTCATGAAAATAAACAAGATACTCTCGCATTATACTAGTTAAAGAGAGTCGATTTATATCTGACTATTCTTAACTACCCCAAAATCTACCCCAAAAATCAATCATCATTTCACACAAACATGTCATATTCATATTTATTTTATATATAAAGCAAATTACAAAATTATGCTACACAAAAAGTATGATATCAAAATAATTCTATTGATATTTAATATTTATGTCATTTTTATTAATGTATAAGAAATTGACTAAAAAATTGGAATTTCATGAAAATAAACAAGATACTCTCGCATTATACTAGTTAAAGAGAGTCGATTTATATCTGACTATTCTTAACTACCCCAAAATCTACCCCAAAAATCAATCATAATTTCACACAAACATGTCATATTCATATTTATTTTATATATAAGGCAAATTACAAAATTATGCTACACAAAAAGTATGATATCAAAATAATTCTATTGATATTTAATATTTGTCATTATTAATGTATAAGAAATTAACTAAAAAATTGGAATTTCATGAAAATAAACAAGATACTCTCGTATTATACTAGTTAAAGAGAGTCGATTTATATTTGACTATTCTTAACTACCCCAAAATCTATCCCAAAAATCAATCATCATTTCACACAAACACGTCATATTCACATTTATTTTATATATAAGGCAAGTTACAAAATTATACTACACAAAAAGTATGATATCAAAATAATTCTATTAATATTTAATATTTATGTCATTATTAATGTATAAGAAATTGAATAAAAAATTGGAATTTCATGAAAATAAACAAGATACTCTCGTATTATACTTTCTATTCTTTTTCATTGAAAAACCTATTATTGAATACTTCAAGTGAATACATCCTTTTCATTAACAGAAAAGTAAAGGGAGTTAATGGAATATATTTCCTTGTGATTCAATCTGATATATCGCGACATTGTTTCTACACTAGCTCGCTTTCCTTTGACACTAGAGTGCAATTCAGAATTAAGTGGCTCATGACAGGTGCTCAAAATGACCTAATTACGATTTAATGCTCGACAGAACAGGTTTGTCGCAATTCAAAGAGATCTTTTGTTAATTGCGTGTTTCATAATATTATATAATAAGCAGGGATCTGCTTATGACTTCATGTTAAATTTTTAAGTTAATGACGCCAACCGTGAAGCTTTACAACAGATGTTAATTCACAATTGTGTTGCGCGAAGCTATTATCCTAACTCGTTATCTTCGCAGTTTTGTGGTTGTAAATAATTAAAATATGTATATAGTTATATTTAGAACAATCGCTTTTAGAGTGAATAAAAGAGGTATAATACTAATAATGTAGCTAATAAAATAATAATCATTACATTATACATGCGTGATGTTTTATCTTGTCATAAAATATTCCCTTAATTCTTATTAATTATTAGCAATCTTAATCAAATTATATACTCTCTGAATTGAGCTTCTGCATTTTTTAAAAAAGAGAGAAATAAAGATTAGTTTTAAAAAATAATAATGAATAAAATGTAGCTAAAAAAGAGTGCACAATAAAATTATGCAGTAAGAAATAAATGCGTGAACACATCATGTTATAAATAATTATATTAAATTATATTTTATATAATTTAATTTTTAATTATAATTTATATAATTTATATAATTTTATATTTATATAATTTATATAATTTATATAATTTTTATAATTTAATTATATTTTATATAATATTTTATATAATTATATCATATAAATTATATTTATATAAAAGCCTGGCGGAGCTGCACGAATTCTTGATGCTGTACAAAGTGAGTCCTTGCTGGATACACTTAAAGCAACAACGGAAGTGTCATTACGTTATCAGTCGAATTGATGGAGCGACAAATCTCTCGTCCGGCTTAAAAGAATGACATATCTCATAATCACATGCCAAGTATGTTTACCATAACGTAAACGATGGTTCTTCGCGAGGGACACTTATTTCGAGGACATCGCGTGGTGTCATCGAATGAATCATTATTACGCAATCACGCATAACACGCGCACACACATGTACGTTGCAGATATTACAAATATATAAATGAGTTACAAGGAGATCCGTTTTGTTAAATAATATCGTACACTGAGAAAAAAATTTTTTTAAATCAAATAAATTTGTTTTCTTGAAACTTTTGCTTTAAATGCAAGGAATTGTTTATTTCATTTAAGCAAAAACATTTAATTTTAATTAAATATGCATGTTATATTAAGTACATTATTTTCATTTATATATTTTTTATATTTAAATATTATTTTCGTAAAATATATACTATAATTTATTAAATTAAATATATTATTTTTTTAAATTGAAAAATTTAAAATTTTTGGGAATAAAAAATGCATTTTAATAAATATTTTGTAAAATTAAAATAAAAATATTGAATTAAAAATTATATTTTTTTAAGCATATATATTTTTTTAAACATATGTAAATAAATACTTAACTTAAGCAAACAGATGTTTTGAATACAAGTAAATACGTGATTAGTAAATACGTGACCCACTGAATAAATAGCTTTCTTGAGTTAACTAAAATTTTTTTATTTCAAGATAATTTTTTCCTCAGTGTATATTTCTTTTGCGTAAACACGACAATATTTTACGCTTCCGTAAATGTGCTTTGACGCACTTGCCAAAAAATTTGATTCGTATAAATATTCATGAAACTAGACAAATACTGATTTTTTAGAAACACCCCGTATCTTGGCTAAGTCTT